TGGCTGCTTGGCAACATAATCTGTGAAGCAAACTCTGCCCATTCCAAAATATGGACTGCGCTTCAGTTCCTCCAGTTTGACCATGCTGTTTTCGTCCACACTTAGGAACAAAGTTTGTCCTTTCAGGCCAACCTCTGTCTCTTGGTGGACTTTCCAGATCGCCGTGTTCAGCCCTGGGTTTTGTTTTGCCAAAATTTCCAAGATCTTCTTGGACTCTTTTGGCAGCCCTGGTATATGAGTGACCATCCGTTTGTACTTGATCGGGTTGTACGCTTCCAAATGGAGTTCAGCACCGTTCCAAGGTTTTATCAGGTTTACATGGTCAGTAAGCCACTTAAGACAGCTCTCTTGGGCTGTACTCAGTGAGTCTGGTGTCTTCAAACCTTGGTACGTCGGTTCCATCAGTACCCGACAGTATCAAGTCTCCAACACAAGACTCAATGAAAATATTAATTTTTTCACCTTAACTTTTGAAAGTGTTCCGGAAAGTTTGATACTTATATATATATATATCTTAAATTAAAGCTAATATAATATTCTTTATCATGGAAAAAAAAAATTCGAACTTTATTTTATATTCACGGTGAAAATAATTACCAAATGCTATTTTGTGTGAAAATTCTCGATTTTGTATTTTACATTTTCAACTTTATAATGCTATAACTTATTGAAAAGTGGGGTCGCGATTCAGTATGGGCGTAGGATAGTTAGAACAATTATAGATTGCAATTAAAATCCCTATCATATGAAATTTTTCTATGCAAATCTGTTGTTAGTGATTAATTTTAAGAAATTTTTAGATTATACCAAAAACAAAATGAATTTCTACTTCCTTCATTATTCCTGATTGGTAGTTCTTTGATTTATAAGTATAATATATGAATAATTATTTATTATTACAATTAAATGTAGTATGAGATTAATATTTAATAATTTATTATTATTATTTTTTCGGAGAATTTAATTAAAAATTATTAAGTAGTTATTACTTATATGGCAAACGTGTATATAAATTGAAGCACTTGATGCATTACTTTTTAAAAATAAGTTGATACTTATGAATGAATTAGATGGTTTACAAGCAATTTTCATCAGAGACCAAAATAAAATTTTCTACGCCAATTTTCGGGCAGATTTAAAATTTTCAAAAATCCCCTTATAAAGGGAAATAGTCCGATTTAAAAAAAATGTATGTGGGATGAAATGAATAAATATAAAGTTTTAGAAAACATTATTTATCATGATCCATACATTTTTCAAAAAATTATAGCAATTTAAGATTTAAAATTTAAGACAAAAAAAAATAAATTTAAAAAGATTGAACACATTGTGGTCAGATTGGCATTACCTAGTTAATTTCGCATCCAAGCATAAAATAAGGTTTTATATTTATGGGCTCTAAAATATTAAATCCAATTTTAATACTAGTTATGAAAGATTTCTTACTGAATTTGCGTTTTAATGATGATTCATATAATTTTGACAATTTATTTAATGTAGAAATATTCTTAAAAATAATATTAAATTTTTATTTTCATTATTAAAGCCATAAGATTAACTCGTATTGTGATTTAAATTAAAGTTTAACTCAAAACAGCTATCCATTAGTTATGTAGGACAAAAAATAACAACAATATAATAAATTGTATAAAAATAGTGGTGACAAACATAAAAAAAGCAAACACATCATAGTAAAATGAATACCTTCTCAGCTATTGTTTGTAAATAAATTGAGTGAATAGTATTTAAAACAAATTTATGTATATACTTTGTAGGATGTGCAAATTTTAAACATTATTAAATTATTACAAATATAAAAATTAGTAAATATATCTATGGTATACCACAGATTATTTGATAAATTAACTACACTTGCTTATTTATCAAAAAAATCATATGTGCAGTATAAATGTAATTATAATTAAAATGATACCTAGATTAATCCTAAACCATACATTAAATTATATTTTTGAATAAAATTTGATACATAAAGCAATTAAACGGAACACACAATATTGATTAAATATAGGTAATTTAAAAATAAAAATTGAAAAATTAAAAAATATACATAACCAATTATATAAAATCATTATATATTACTTCTTTAATATTATGATTGTGTGATATCATTACTAGAATAAATGAAAAAAAAAGTAAAGAAAGTTTGATTATTCTGAACAATGTAAATTAATTATAGTTTCAATTGGTACAATTGGTGTAAACTATGCAAGAGTTAATAGAATCAATTATTTTGTATATTTAATTATTCACAAAACTATTATTTTTAATAACAAAAAAAAAAATTAATTAATTAAAAAGTTGTCATTTTTTTTGAAATTAACTAAAATTTATTTTGAAAAAAAAATTTTAAACAAAAAATAATGTATTATTACACATTATACATTATTAGAGTTAAATTATATTATAAAAAATTATCTAAAAGAAATTGTGCAGAAAATAGTACATATTAAATATAATAATATATTATTTAATCAATATTATTTGCTTGTGTTTCGGAGATTGTATCTAAGTAGTTTATTAATGTTCTAACTAAATCGTAGTTATCATATTCAAAACAAGTTATGATACAATTTAAAAACGTTCTTGCATTGAGCAAACTGTAATATTCTACAGTTTCAAGTTTTTCAGGATTATGAGCTGGTTTGTTTGCTCTTTCAGGGTATTCCTGACCAAACAAAAAAATTGGCTCTATTGCAAAACATTTCAAAGGAATACAAATATAGGTCAGAATAATTTTCAATTCGGATTCTAATTTAAAATAATGCTGTTGTTTATAATTTGGAAACTCATCTTCATCTACTGAGCCATTTTTATTTTTTGGAATATAACTAATGAATTCCTTGATATTTGATGTAATTTTAACAATATCAGAATCATTTTCTACACATGTAAGCTGAGAAAAATCATTCAATATTAGTAACCATTCCTTTGCAAGATATTCTACAACATTGATATTTTGGTGTTGAAGGTACAAAAAATGTTTCCAAGTCAACCTTAACATAATGACCTTAAAGAAGTTAAAGAATCCTACATAATAATTCTTAATTGATTTAAAATTTCCGTCTGACCAGTCAAGTGAAGTAGCTCTTTTAAACATATCTACAATGACGTTGCCCATATTAACACTCCAATTCACTTGTACATTATATTCGTTTTCGAAAATATGTCGATTTTTTGCTGCTATTCTCCTAAATAATTTGGTTTTAGAATTTCGTTCGAATCTTTCAGGTAATATTAATTCACGACTACTGTGTAGTTCAATCAATTTATGCATTTCTTTTCTATTTATTATCAATTGTAAACTTAAACTTTTTCTATCCTTTGTGTTTGTTAAATCGTAATTTGTTATATCAACATTAAATTCGTTTGACTTATCACAATTTATTACATCTCGTTGCAACATTTGTGTAACATAATCAAGAGTTTTATCAATATATTGGAATCGATCGTCATTTTTCGTCATTTTCTGTCCGCCATTATATTTAGGTGAATATGAAATAACGCTACTTGAATATATATGCACTAACCATAAAGATCCAATACTTTCTTTAGCGCTGTCGTACAACGTACTTATTTGTTTCCTAACAATTTGGTTGTACTTGCATATATTGGCTATTGTGTTTAAAAATTGTTCTTTATTGCTTTTCATTAATACTTGATTCATTTTCATATAAGTCAAGGCACTAAACATGCAAGAACATTTGAAATACTCATGACTATTAGTTGATTTTAAATTAATCGAGCTCGTTGTTTTAGTTAATCTGTTCATGCAACACATTGATAGGAATAAAAGTAACTTAATTGCTATTGATGTCTTAAAGTTCAACATAATTTTATTTTGTTTTTCAAAAATCTCGAATTTTTTTTATATTATGTGTCAATAAATGGATGGATGTGGTTTTATACAGAAATTTGTGTAAAGTATGTGTATACTAATAAAATATGTATTTATAGAGAGATGTTTGCTTTTTATTTAAAATTAAATTAGATAATTCTTTAAAGTACTCTTTTAGCGTTTTATAAATTCAAACTCTTATCAAATAATAATATTTATATGTGAAAAATTTGAAATTTTTGAAACAAATTTCATATTTTAAAAATATTTCTAACAATCATTTTAGTAATTACTAAACTAATAAAAAGAGCACCTACTGGAATATTATGAAAATTGAGTTGAATTTTTCAATGTGGGTAACTATTACTCTCTCCAAAGGTGTTCCCTAAAAAATTAAGTTTGTATAAAATTCTGATTGGTTCCGAAAATTATTATAAGTTATTCAACAAATTATATTTTATAAAATTTTATCTAATTTTGGGAAAACTTATTTAAAAAAAATTACAAAATTTTTTGTGAAGTATGTGTATATTTTTAAAATTTATAGTTATTGACAGATATTTGCTTTATATTTAAAATTAAACTATGTAGTTCTTTAAAGTGTTTTATTGAAACTTTTCAAATATCAAACTTTTATTGAATAATGCAATCCAAATTTAAATAACTTCTATAAAACAAATTTGGTATTATAAAAAAAATTTTCTAACAATCATTTTAGTAATTAATCAAATTTGTAAGGTTTTTTAAATTTTGTTATGGGATAAAAACGTTTCCAGTCGAACTTTATAAAAATTTAGGTGAATTTTCCAATGAATTAAATTAAATTGTTTATGTAGAAACATTAAGTATCTTTAATAAAACAAAAGATCTTCCAAAACCCTTCCTTAAAAAATTTAGTTTTTGCAGAAATACATGATTGATTAATAAAATCAGTACAAGTTATTCAAACATTTTACATTTTATAAAAATATTGATTTATATTTGAAAAAATATTTCAAATTTTCTACTATATTACAAAATTTAAGCAGTTGCTAATTCAAATAAATTATTACAAAAAATATTGCCAAAAGCTGTTTTATTTTATAATTATACTAAACCTATTTTCATTATTTGATGTAACATTTTATTGAATAAGAATAGTAAATGTAGAAATAATATATGAACACAAGTTTTATTCCGCGTTGAATTTTAAATATGGTTTTTATAATTTCTTAATTTGTTTTATTATAATTACATATGGGGCTAATTTAATAAGAAAAAACATTTTTTCAATAAAAAAAAATAATGAATTTATTTTATTTGATACCTGTTGCGGTAATTGACCTAGGCATCGCATTAACCAATCATATATACAGAGAATGTGAGGAGAATAATCGTAAAATATTCAATGCAATGCTTATAGTGAGTTTTTTAAATATAACAATAAGTGACTTATTAAGTGATCAATTTAAACTAAATAAAAAAAAAGTATTTTTCTACTAAGCCAGTCAATTATTAGATAAAAAATTAACTCAATTAAGAATGTCTAATTCATTTAGGATTGTAAATATCAATTGAACAAAGAAGGTATCAATAAATTAAAACGCATGTATAAGGAGTTTGAAAAAAATGATTGTATTACTTCAATGGATTTTAAACAAATACTCAGAATTTTAGGTTTTAAATCATGGAAATTGTGTGATATGATGAGGAAAGTTAACATTGATATTAATGGTAATGATATATAATTTTTTGGCATTTATTATAGATAAAAATGAAGGAAAAAGTAAGAAATAATTAATTAGTTATAAAAATATATATATTTCATAATCTTTGATGACTAAGGTGAAACCCCACATTAACATTTTAAAATTTTGTAGTATTTGTTATTACATAAAATGGGTATTAAGAATTTTCAATTTTATCTTTCAATTATAACATTTTTATTTATAAATTTGTGTAATGTAATAATCAAAATATTTTCCAGAAGATCAAAATTAAAATGAAAATTCTATTCTAATTTAATAAAATAATGCAAAAACAATATTTTTAAAAACAAATATACAATTTATTTTATTAAAACTTTGTATAACATTTATACTAAATCAAAATTTTTTTATAAGTATACTTTTGAAAATTGTTAATTCATATAAAATTGTGTCATTATCTATTTATTTATTAATAACAATATTCCACAGCCAACTAAAATTATGCAAAAACTTAAAGTAATAAAAATAACTTTATTACAATTGATATTTTTAAGTTCAATATAGTTTTATTTTATTTCACGAAAAAATTGAATGACTTTATTTTATGCTCAATACACGGACAGCCATGTTTATGCAAAACGTTCTATCTAAAGTACGTGTATATTTTTAAAATTTGTAAATATCGACAGATGTTTACTTGTTTTTTTCTTTAATTTAACTAGGTAGTTCTGAAGTTATCTTGTAGTGTTTTATTAGTTCAAACTTTTAATAAATAATCATATTAAAGTCTGATAATTCATAATAGTTGATAAAACAAATTTCATATTTTTATAAAGATTACCAACAATATTTTAGATTCTAACGTTATTTAAATTTTCTATGTGAAAATTGGGATGAATTTTTAATTTATTGAGCAATGAAATATATATATATTTTTTTTAAGCCCAAACACCTCCCAAAGCCTTTAAATAAAAAAATTTATTTTGTAGAAAATTCTGATAGGTTCTGAAAATAATAAAAAATTATTTACATAATTTTTGTATTTTAAATCCTATATTATTTTTCAGATTTCATAAAATTATCTACTTACTATTTACTTTTTTAAACTTGTGTCTAAGTATAAGAATTTTTGAGATCGTTGTCAAATTTTGCATCTATCCATTAATTGCATAGACTACAGTATAATCTATGTTATTTTTAAATAAAATTTTAAAATAATAAATTGTCATTTAAATTTTATATCCCTAGCAATTAATTTAATTATATATCAGAAATTTCGCAACAGCTGAAAAAGCTTATGAAAATAATAGTCAAGAAACACTTTGCTCATAGGAAAGTAAATTTTTATATTCTTATTGATAATACATTTTTTTGTAAAAGTTAATAAGTTTTTACTGATTTGAAAAACAACTTTTATATAACCATACAATGCAAAAGTGATTCGATATAATTTAAGAAGGTATGGAAAATTTTATGACTATTTCGGAAAAATACTATTCTGATTCTCAAGTGATATCTTAAAAAGTTATGTGGTAGAGAGCGCCATTAACAAAAACCTAGTGGACCCGTTGTTACAAACACTGTTGATTATGTTATAGCACGTGACAGCTGATCTCTAGCGTCTTTGATTTACTCAGCCCCTTACCCATCTTGCACAGAAAATCGACGGCCTACGCGTCAATTTTCTGTACACAGTCCAATTTATCAATATTATCCTCAACGGATAATATTGTGCGTTTTCTTTCGTATACACATCAATCGACTCCACTTGTGTGTGCTAATAATCGACCATATTTTTATTGATTTGCATCTCCTGTTGTGTCCTGAGCTCCCTCTAGCCATACGTACTTGTGCACCCTTTTCAGTTGTCGGCCTATCCCTGAAGTAGTTAATTTTTAAGCGACGCCCTTGTGTCAGCAATCCGCCATTCGATATCGTTTACCGCTACGTGTCCTGCATCTAACCGGGGATCGTGATATCCAGGCGTGCAAGGTCATTAGCCAGCCCTTGTCACACATCACGGGCAATTGTCATTATTCACGACTTCAGCATTTCAACGCATAAATACAGTCCACATCTCACTGCCATTTTTCACCGTTCTGTTCTGCGTTATATGGCTAAGTTTTAATTGTTTGTCTAATTTATTTTATATATTTTCTATTTGGTTCACAACCGTCTTTTCGGCTATTGCAGTAATAAGGATATTCCCAAACACCCTTTTATTTAAATATTATTGTTTTATTATTATTTTATAATTATTGTCAACGCGTCATTTGTTGAATATGTGGTTAGCCAGCATCTCTCCAGGTGACCCCTCTTGACCACTCCTCTAGTAATTTTAAACAAGCCTAAGGCTAGACGGCAATTCAGTGCGGTGCACAACTAGCCGTCCTACGGTCTAGTTGTCTCGTACGAAACAGAAGTAAATAGTAAGTAGAGGATTTTATTAAACTTAATTACTTTTCAAAAACCAACTCAATGTAATGAGTACATTGTAGTTGGATTATATTGTACTTAACTTACTAATAATATGTATAATTTTCATATATTTCAGTAAACCAAACTATAGAACTAGAAGAGTTCATTTCTTCAATGACCATTTTAATTAAGAGTGCTGTAGAAGAGTTACAAGATCATTATAATAAATTTAACAATGGCGGAGATGACTANATAATAAATTTAATAATGGCGGAGATGACTTTCTCAGTATAGATAAAATACGTCTTGGATTACGAATGGTTGGGTTGCTTAACTCAAAAATTGACGCAATTTTATTGAGCCTTGGAATTGAAGGAGACGTTAATATCAATTATAAAAGTAATCAAAAGGACACTATAAGTACAAATTCCATTTTGGTGTATATTTCGTTTTTATTTGAAGAAAAATCTAACATTATTCAAATTTCAAGTATCTCCAATGAACATTATAGCGAGACATAAAATTTTATACTGAAATTTTGTTAATATCAATTCGTTTGATTAAAATATTAGATTTTTCTTAATAGTTCCATATCGAAATTCTGATGATAGCATTTAAGTAGATAATTGCATGTAACCTAATTATCAACAAATATTTCTGACACTTGGTTCTAATGTAATACCTAAAACTGTAAATGCTCATAACATTAATATAGCTGATATTTTATTTTAAGAAACACAAAAATATATAACTTAATTATTACAATTGTAGTCTCCGAAACTCACTAGAAATNAATTATTACAATTGTAGTCTCCTAAACTCACTAGAAATATATATTGATGTTTTAAAGTATTTTTTAAACAATATCACGAAAGATCTTTTTTTATCTTGCATAAGATTTCTTCTATGATATCAATTTTTTTTTCAGGTAGGCTTCACAAATTTCTTTAAATTAAACATCTCAACATTTTTTTCAGTAATATTTGCGTAATAATAATGTTATTAAGTCAATAATCACAATTGGCATTAACGCGTAATCCAAAAGGGGCGCACTAGATATAATTATATATATATATATATATATATACACACTTCTTAATTCAACAGATTGTTTTAATACAATATTCCAAAAGGCGGTGCCGTGTCAGCATTTAATAAACTTAGGAGGAGGGTTTTAATTTTTAATTACATTTATTTTGAAGTGCAATTAAAATAAACNTCTTGCATAAGATTTCTTCTATGATATCAATTTTTTTTTCAGGTAATTAAGAAATCAATGGACTCGTGAATTACTTTTTGATGAAAATATTAGTTTCAATGCAAAACTGAAGAGATATTACTTTTATTATGTGTTTTTTTTTGTCTATCACCTCGTACAGGAAGTTTTTACTGAAGCAAGAATTCTCAATTATATACCAAAATAATTACTGTCAGTTTAGGTTAAGGACTTTACCCTCAAAAATTGATAAAAAATGTTAGAACATTAAAAATGTTCTAACATTTTTACTAAAAATTAAAAATGCTTTTTTATTATTTTTAAAGTAATGTAATGTAGAATAGCAATATTATAGATAATTACTTTTTATCAATATATATATATTATTTTTGGAAATTAAATTGATACTGTAATAAGGAGGGATTAAAACACTTCAAAAAAATAATGTAAAAAGAAAAAATTTTCATTTCAATTTTCGACAATATTTTGGAAGAGTACCACCCTTTACATCTATATTAAATGTTTTAAGTAACTATATTAACTATATTAATAAAAATGTTTTAAGTAGTCTTTATGGTAAAAAAATAAAATTATCCTAACGACTATCGCTTTATCAGCTACCAAAATCAAAAAACAAATTCTAAAGATGTAATTTTCGATTTTACTAGTCACTACTATTATCTATTATGGACCTTACGGATCCTCTAGCTGTAGATTCTGGCTACTATTTAAAATTATTGAATTTTTATGTGAAATTATACTTTATCTGTGATTTTTGTATATGTGAGTTGACTATTGTATTTTTTCCAGTTGTAGCGTTATAACCTAAAAAGTAGTGTGTGTGTGTTGTTTTTTTGTAAAATGACAATATTTATATAATTACATAATTGTTTATTATATAATTAATATTAATTTTATGCTGAACAACCAATAGATAAATAATTATACATTGTCGTACAAAAGGTAAACCACATAGATCATGTACTATGTAAGCCACGTCCACAGTAATGCTTTTTCTATGGTTACTTTTTCCTCATATAATAGAACCCTTCACTATGTTATGCCCCGGGATTTTGAATTATTTGCCTATGTTATATGTATTAATATTTTCTTAAATTACAAATTCTAAATTCTAAATTATTTTTTATACTTTGTTTCAGCGTTTATGAGAATGATGTAATAAGAAAAGTGCATCTTATTAAACTAACTCAAATATTTATTAAATAATTAATTATAAATTTTAATTATTATTATAAATTGTCATTACACATATAGTTTTAAGGTATTTAAAATAACTATAAGGTATTAAATTGTATTATTTCATCTAATATTGTTGATAAAAAGTGTTGTTAAATTTTAAGGCCTTAAATAATATAAAGTAAATTACTAATAAACCATATATAATGAGAGTGAGTGTATTATACTGTGAATTATAGTTCAAATACATTAGTAAACTACTTTTGTTTGTATTTAACACTACACTGAAAACAAATAATTTTTTACAATAAGTCTCAGTAAAATATACATATGTAATGCTCATTTTTTTTGTAGATGACATTTTTAAATTCCCTATTAATATTTTTATAAATAATAGATAATATGTAGCTTACAAGAAAACATAATTTAGTAATAAATCATACTGAAATTCATATTAACATTGGACCATTGAAGTAAACTATGTAAGAAATATGAATAAGTTCTCGCATTTTGATAAAGCTGATGAAATTTGTATAATATAATATATATTTATATTTTAATGTCTTTATTTCAAATTTACCTACTCGTTTTAAATTCACAATTGTTGATAAAATAATATTGAGTTCGAAATAAAACTATTTCTGTATCATTTAAAGCCATAGATTTATGGCTTTAAATATAAAAATTGTTACAATTACAAAAAAAAAAATCCTAATTTATAACTTCAGCTGCTGTTTGAAGTTTTACAAAAATGAAAAATGTGATACTAAAAAAATAAATCATTTTGAGTTAACACATGTGCAAAAAATATAAAAAAAGTTGTCTAACTGTTGTATCAAAAATAGAAACAACCCTAATGTCTTAACATAAAGTAATATAAGTTTAATAATAACGCAAATGTAATTATTAAAGATATAATTAATCAACGTAAAACATACAAAATAAAGATACACTTAAAACACAATAAAACAATACACAAAATGAAAACTTAATGTCATAAACGTATCACGCGAAAAGAGAATACCTTCAGTGCTCCCGAGGTCCTCCCTCTCCTCTCCTTTACAATTCATTCCATTTCATCTTATATACTAAAATATCTTGTTTTTCTTCTTTTTTATGGATACGTCATTAATAATACAATAAAAAAATGTTTATACATGATGACATCCTGGTCTAGTAACAATAACTCAAGAAATTAAAATTAAATCAAATATTACAAAAAGGGTTTACTTCCAGCTTTAAATAATAGACTATATTATATTTAGTAATAATAGATCAAGAAATTATAGTTAAACCAAACATTACAAAAATATTTTACTTCCAGCTTTACAAATAATAATCTATATTACAAAATAAACAATAATTGGTAGACTTGTTTCATAAATAACAGTACGCAATAATTGAATGATAAAATTTTAAAGGCACAGGTAAGAAACAAACGGACGCTCTTCACTTCTACCTCGAAAATGAAGGGTAGAAGTGGGTTACATAGCAGAAAGAGACCCAGGAAACCGCAAACCTCAATAACGGCCACAGCTGAGGGGAACCTCCCCACGGATCCATAAGAAACACACACACTAAGATACCACAACTTAGGTACTTGGACTTTGGAGAGTGACACAGCATAACACGGTAAAATAATAAAAGAGATAGACCAGGGCTTTTAGGAATACCCCTTGGACTATATCAAACCGGTTCTTAAGAATAACATTCCCTACAAAGTGGAGATCACTACACGTATAGAATGGAATATTAACCACCTTACTGACAAAGAAGGATTTGTGATATATACAGATGGATCCAAAAAATCAGGAAAGGTAGGTGCTGGAATTTGGGGCTTAAAGCCACGAATAAATGTCAGTATGTCATTGAGAACAACACCCTCCGTTTTCCAAGCAGAAGTGATGGCAATACTGGTAGAGGCTCAGAACCTGCTGGTATACAAAAATAGGAAGATAACTATCTTAAGTGATAGTCAAGCGACTTTGAAAGCACTTTGTAATAACCACGTGAATTCAAAGCTTATCCTCGAAAGCAGGGAAACTTTAGAATCGCTATCGAGGATCAAGAAAGTTACACTAGCGTGGGTACAGAGACACAACGGTGTCACTGGAAATGAGAATGCTGACTTTATAGCCAGGAAAGGAGCAGAGAAAAACACAGAAAAATCTGGAAGTACTTGATAGTACCAAGGCAATCCAAAATATTTATCCAGAATTCCGGTCTACTGCTGGATAATCTTAATAGGATGACTAGACTACAAATAAGCACTTAGACTGGTCTATTGACAGTACATGGTCACTTGCTTAAACATCTTTACACAATGGGGATATCGGAATCACCATTGAGCAGGAGGTGTGGAGTAGAAGACGAAGACTCATATCACATTATGTGCGAATGTGAAGGCTTGTCTACACTAAGATCAAACTACTTGAGTAAACCTTTTCCTGAAAAAGAAGATATTAAAAACCTAAGACCGAGAGACATACTTAATTTCACCAAAAAGACAGGACTCTTTTGTCATCCATAGGGGTAACTTGATCATCTAACCTTATACAATGATAAGTATAATGTAATAATACATCAGTGTTAACACTTAGGTGGGTAAACCGAATAAAGACAATTCGGTATGAGGTGCGCACAATGGACCAATAGGTCTGAGTGCATGGCATTATGTCCACCTCAATAAGAACTTTAACTAAAGAAGTAATTGTAGCTCGGCAATTATCTTTTGTTACTGTTATTATTTAAAAGAGCGGTTTGCAGAAACAGTTTTACAAGTTTTACAGGGTATATGACAATTGATCCGAAGACAATAGGATACAAAGACTTATGTCATTACAGTATCGTTAACTTACGACTCAACTTGAACATTGCTAGCATTAGCATAAAACAAATGTAACGTATTCAAATCTATTCAGATCCTCAACAATAAACCACAGTAACGGAAACTCACGAAAATTATATATAGAAATTACTATGTTGCAGCGCTACAACAACACAAAAAATGACTCACGCTAAGGATGACAATTAGCCCACAACCAGTTCCGACAATGGCTTATTTTCGACAAAACGTCCGGCGTTTGACCCGGCGGTTCGTTGGCGACAACACGGCTAGCCTTTAGAGTAGGGGTAAAAAAAAAAAAATTAAATATCCAGTGAAGAAAACCATTAAGAACAATTCAAATCATAAGGCACATACATTGTCGCCTTATGATTTGAATAACTTAGAACACACAAATATATACACAAATAGACAAACAAAATAAACAGATACTTGTTGTCACGTTACAATATAAACAAATTTTTATTATTTATTATGAAATATAAACATTTAAAGGTTCAAATTTGTTTGGGCAAATACACATGTGTAATACATAAGGGATTGTAAATACAGGTAGCTTATTGGTTTTTTATGAAAATATTCGCAGGTATATAGCCTTTATTATCAATAGTAGTAAGACACAATTGTGAGTTTATGAATACACTGACTGCCAATACAGAAATTATATTTACTAATAATCATAATTGACAATAAACACTCCGTGACTGTGACAGCGATGTCATAAAAAACTAAAAAGTGAAAAATAAATAAAAAAAACAAGCTTTTAAAGCACATCGAATTAAAAAGTTAAAAATAATTATTAAACTAAGCTTAAAACAATAATAAACGAAAAATACTAAAATTATTGTGAAAAAAGGCGTTGATGGTTTGTGCCATTTTAGCTTCGATGCGAAGCTGAGAAGGTATTGGTTTTAATATGATGTGTTTTTTTTTTTTTTTTTTTGTCTGCTACCACTTTTTCTCAGCTCTCACCGAACGGATTTCTTTCAACGATACGTCAAAAGATCACAAATCGTATCTAGTCAAAAACATTACCCTTAAAAATTGAAAAAATTTCCCTCGTTCCCCGTAAATTGGGGAAATNAATTGAAAAAATTTCCCTCGTTCCCCGTAAATGGGGGAAACCTCCAAAAAAATTACAAATTTAAAAATCGCTAATTTTCGAAATTTTTTCAATTTTTTTTACTAAAAACTGCCGTAACTTTTTAAAAAATGAACATATGAATATAATTTTTTTTATATACATGCTTGATGTCTTTATCTATCATTTGGTGTATTTTTTTTGTAAATTTGACTTTTTTTCTGCCCACAGGGGGGGATTTAAAATGACAACTTTTTCACAAAAAATTAACTTTTTCAACTTAACTTTTGAAAATGTTCCGGAAGGTCTGACACTTTTATATATATCTTAAATTAAAGCTAATGTAATATACTTTAATTTGAAAAAAAAAAATTTGACCTCTGGACTTGTCTTCACGGCGAAAATGGCTACCGAATGCTATTTTCGTGTGAAAATTCTCGATTTTATTATTTATATTATATTTAACTTTATAATGCTATAACTTATTGAAAAGTTTATGGATCCACACAATTTTTTTATGAGAAATAATATTTTTTAATAAACCCTTTTTCATTCGACATACTTTATCTTAATCGAGATATTAATAAGGAACCAGCAGATCAAGTAGCTTTTGGAATAAAACACCAATTTTTTTAAAATTAAACACTATCTAAAGATTTGCATCGAAGCGTTTATTTTTGATAGTGATTTTAATCACTGTCAGATATCATTATACTTGATCCAACTATGCCACGTCACCGCTGTGCCGCGAACCCCCTGTGCTGGGTTTTTTTTTCATATATTGAGCACCTGATATCAAAATATGACATGTCGTATAAAATTATTATTTGAAGTCAGTTTAATATATATTTATATATGTATAATTAATATGAACTATGTAATAGTTAAAAGGATCAGTTACTTCAATTATTCAACAAACTATTATTCTTTTTACAAAAAAAAATTTAATTTATTAAAAATATATCATTTTTTAAAATTAAATAAAATTTACTCACGATCCAAATTAGAGGTTCATATATACTACTCTGGGTAGAAATATAAAGTGATTCCTTCCCACCATGGAGAGTAGTGAAATGAAGCTAATCATAAGTATTCATGGTATTAATGATTTAAAAGAATATCGTTTTATTGTAACATATTACAGTCAAAGATATATGACTTCCTTGGTGTTTGGTTTCTTAATACAAAACATCAAGCCCACTAACAATGTTAAATTTGGTATTTATTGTAATAAAAATATTATGGTGAAATAAAATATCAACTATTTAATTAATATAGTAAAAAATCCATAAAAATAGTTAAAAATATTAAAAATAATTGTAACATGAAATGAAAATAAATATATATACATATTTCATAATAATTATTATAAAAATGGATATTCAATATTTTTTTGTGAACATAAGACATTCGAAGTATAGCAGTTACTAGGTTTATAATGCTCAATGTCAGACAAGAAGCCAGAATTTTTCTAAAAATGGTACAATAATTTTTTACAATGCAATATATTATATTCAATATATTTTGCAAATTATAATTTTTGCAATGATTATTATTTAAAAATGTTAAAATTTTTAGTTTACTTAGTTTATTGTATCTGTACAAAAAAAAATAGTTTATTTTAATAAAATTATAATTATATTAAACAACTAAAATAACTTTCAAATTTATTTTTTATCAATTAATATAAAAATTATAGTTACAGTTATTATATTAAAATTCACAATTTCCATATTCATTTAAATTACGATAACAGCAATGCTAGCTAGGTAATTATTTTATAATCCACGACATTTTTTAGCATACCTATCGAATTCAAACTATATCAACTTTCTGTCAGAAAATTATTTTCGAGTAGAATAGAGTACTGTGTATTTATTGAAGACTTGATTCTTTTAATAATATATTTTACGAATAACAATATTAGAGTAATACTACAACTTTTAAAGATAAAAATAGTTCCTGTATTTTATATAATTATACAGGGTGGTCCACCACTCACTGACAACTTAAATAACTTTTGATCCAGTTAATATTTTTAGTTGATTTTTTTTTTAAATAATAGTTATACGTTAGGTCTATAGCTATATCTCAATAATTAATTTTTTTACATTTTATTAAAAATATTAATTATTTTTAAATTTTAAATAAAATGTAAAAAAAAAATCTAAGATAGCTATTTTGTAGAGTAGAATTTAAGAAAAATTTTAGTAAAAAAATATCTTATTAATATTCAGTAGTAAATATTCTGTAGCGTTTTGAAGTTTGTGAAAATTTGAATTTTCATGTACTATTTTACGGTATTAAACATTGAAATACGTATTGAGAAAAGGACAGAAGAAAACGCTATCTTTTCAATATACTTTTGAATGAGAGTGATAAGTAATAATTGCCTTATCTAATTTCTTATCATGGTATTAATGCCAAGTTTGTAATGTATACACACTATCATCATATGTATACACAGTAATCATGAAAAGATAGCGTTTTCTTCTGTCCTTTTCTCAATACGTATTTCAATGTTTAATACCGTAAAATAGTACATGAAAATTCAAATTTTCACAAACTTCAAAACGCTACAGAATATTTACTACTGAATATTAATAAGATATTTTTTTACTAAAATTTTTTTTAAATTCTACTCTACAAAATAGCTATCTTAGATTTTTTTTTTACATTTTATTTAAAATTTAAAAATAATTAATATTTTTAATAAAATGTAAAAAAAATAATTATTGAGATATAGCTATAGACCTAACGTATAAATATTATTTAAAAAAAAAATCAGCTAAAAATATTAACTGGATCAAAAGTTATTTAAGTTGTCATTGAGTGATGGGCCACTCTGTATATAACCCTTAATTTCAAAGTATTTCTGTTAAACTATTGCTTACTTATTTTTCCTATGTAATTTATAAATGATTTTACCACACCAAAATCAATATTTTCAGTATTTTCTATAATATTTTTAAGAAAAATTTTTGCATTGAGTAAACTATAATATTCTACAGTTTCAAGTTCTTCAGGATTATGAGCTGGTTTGTTTGCTTCTTCAGGGCGTTCCTGACCAAACAAAAACAATGGCTCTATTGCAAAACATTCCAAAGGAACACAAATATTAGTCAGACTAATTTTCAAAGCGGATTCTAATTTTGAATAATGCTGTTGTTTATAATTTGGAAACTCATCTTCATCTACAGAGCCGTCTCTATTTTTTGGAATATAACTAATGAAGTCTTTGATACTTGATGTAATTTCAACAATATCAGAATCATTTTCTATACATGTAAGCTGAGAAAAATCATTCAATATTAGTAACCATTCTTTTGCAAGATATTCTACGACATTGATGTTTTGGTATTGAAGGTATACAAAATGTTTCCAAGTCAACCTTAACATAATGACCTTAAAGAAGTTAAAGA